TGGGCAGTGTGGCCATTTTCACGATATTGATTCTTCCCATCCATGAACATGGAATGTTCTTTCATTTGTTTGTGTCCTCTTTTATTTTGTTGAGCAGTGGTTTGTAGTTCTCCTTGAGGAGGTCCTTCAAAGATCCCTTGTAAGTTGGATTCCTAGGTATTTTATTCTCTTTGTAGTAATTGTGAATAGGAATTCACTCATGATTTGGCTCTCTGTCTATTATTGGTGTATACGAATGCTTGTGATTTTTGCACACTGATTTTGTTTCCTGAGACTTTGCTGAAGTTGCTTATTAGCTTAAGGAAATTTTGGGCTGAGACGATGGGGTTTTCTAAATATACAGTCCTATCATCTGCAAACAGAGACAATTTGACTTCCTCTTTTCCTAATTGAATACCCTTCATTTCTTTCTCTTACCTGATTGCCCTGGCCAGAACTTCCAACACTATATTGAATAGGAGTTAATAGCTAAGATTAGTTTTATGTGTTACATGTTATTAACACTTTTGTAAAATTGATTTTTGATAAGGTAAAAATGGAGTTGTCAGTTTAGAGCAATAGTACTTGAACATTTTTCCTTACGTTAAGTCTGGATTTTAAGTTAGAAAGAATTTCTCATTAGTCCTCTGACTTTTTAATCTAGGGTCAGGCAAGATCAGTTTCAGAAGTTGTACAGTTTCTTTAGAAAATTTGGAACAAATCAAGATATTTTCTGATTGAAATTTTAAAGAATTGCAGTCTTTGTTCTCTAGTAGTGAAGTGAAGTGATAGGGTTGCAAGATTTATTTGTGTTTATTCCAAAAAGTATTTCAGTCAGGGTAAGTAGGACTAATTTGTCACCTTTTAAAAAAATGTTGATATAAAAGTGGATGAATGTATGTTCTTGATAAACATTTAATAAAATAAATAGATTCATCTTTTAAAAAATTTTGGCAAGAAACTGCTGTGTTGAAAACTAATGGTAAAATGTTTTTCTTCAGGAATGTTTCCTAAAACTGTAATTGCTTTAAGTTAGCTGCTGAAATGGTTTCCTAATAACGCTTTGTTATTCTGTTTTATTTCAACAATACGTATGTAGTAATGTTGTTCCTATTTTGATGAGAGACAAACGCATGAAACAATTTTTAAAATCAACAATTGCTTTTGATATATCCCTTTGATTAGTAAAATAAAGCTATTGGTACTTTCACCCAAGTTTATTATGTTTTTAAAATAAGATTTGTGTCTCTTTAAGGAAATCATATAGGCTGAAATGATCCAAATAAAAATCAGATTATTGTATCAGGTCTATTTCAGGGAATATAGTTAAATTCAAGTATAGGGTCAACTAAGTTTTTGTCTCTTAAATGATTAGTAAAATTTGTTACGTGATAAGGGAAATATGTATTTGGTATTGTGTGCTTTAGTATTTGTTACTTTTTAACCTAGTGATTGAGTTACAGCTTTCTTTTCAATGTATGACATCACTTTCCCATGATGTAAGATAGTTGATACATTTTCCAGTGATTCTTGAGTGTTGGAGTATGAAGAAATAAAAGATAAAATATTCTTTTCTCTGTTTCCCTGTTTTGTTACTACCTGGTCATGCTCCTAGGCCACTTGTCCATCAGTACTGTCGAGTTAGCCTGTTGACATTCACATGTCAGGTGTTGAGTGCATAGCCAAGGGATTTTCATAGAATGCCTTTTTTGTCATTACGTTTTTCTGAGATATTTTACCCAAACCAAGGTTTTCTTTAGCAGGGATGGTGATCACTTTTATTTTATTGATTTTTTTTTTGTTGGAGAATCGTGTAAAGGTGGGAAATTTTGAGAGAGAGGAAATAGAATGGTAGTGAGTTGAGGGCAGGAAAATACATCTGCAACCTTTATTGGTTTTTAAGTGAATATCTTGATAGGGAAGGTATAATGGAATTGTCAAAAATTGTTAATGTGTTTGACAAAGTGTGACTGCCTGTACGATCTTTTTGTTAACATTTTGACATGAACAATTGTCCTTTTATTGGTGCTATTAATGCTATTTTGGAATATCATGGGCATCTAAAGGCAATAGTTGAGCAGTGTCCATAAAGCATCAAATACCATTATAATATCTAGTAACCCTAACAGCAATATTTCAGAATCCCTGCCTGTTTAAATGGGCTATCTGTGAATGTACTGGCTCAGGGATGCATGACCCACATCACCTATAAATTTGATTGGAAGCTAACAGTACTGGCGTAGCCTGATGGATAGCAGATTAGAGCCCTGATTAACCATGTGATTCAAATACTGGGAATATATTGTCTAAGCAAGATTCATCAGATGCAATCAGAATTTCAAGTGGTCAGATGAAATTCAAATGTGTGTTGTGGTTTTTCCTCCCCTATTGCTTTTCCTCCTAGGTTGCCTTTTTTCCCTTCTTTCCCCAAAGCTGAAAAATACTTCTTTGATGAATCTGCTCCTTACCCTAAAGCTGTCTGTCTGTTATTCATCAGAAAGCAGGTCGCAGTTCAGTGAGCAGAAGAAAAGATTTTAATAGAAGCTGTGCCAAGGGCTGTAATGCATCATTTTAGGGCCCTAATTACATTACAATGACAAATATCAATGGTGACAACAGCAATAACCTACATCCTTTAATGGCTGTGCTGGAAAAGGAGTTTGGGCCCCACGCCATTATATTAGACTCAGTTTCAAAACATAGGCCATTAGAAGTGTGTGTCCACAGTGTTATTGGCTGATCGCTGAAGCCCAGTGGAAAGGCCTGTAAATAAATGATGCCTCCCTAAAGCTGGGTCCTATGGGACAAAAGAGGCAAAATTAGATGACCATGGGAGCAGCAGTGTTTCCGAGGCAACTTTAGCTTTCAAAGTGAAGAATGACCTGCTTAATTTTATGAAATCACACACACATCCCACCCCCCAACTGCCAATTAGCCTGACCATGAAAATCCATTGGCATGACAACTTAAAGAAATTAAGAAGTCTTTTAAACAACAGGAGACCTTTAACGAAAGTCTGGAAGGTTTCTACCCTCCCGTTTCTGTTGTGTGTGTTAACCTACGTGATTAGTAAAAAGACTCCTCTCCTTTTTACATTTATTTTTAAGAAAATAATTTTTTTTTTAAAAAAGTTGCTCAGACTTAATACAACCTAGGTCCAAAATTTTATTTCACCAGATGAATAAGTTTCCTCAGAGTAGTTTTTATTGTCTAGATTATGTAGGCAAACTAAAGAACTCAGTTTTCTTATGTGCCCACACATTTTTCAGCCCTCCTAGCAAGGGACTATTTTATTTATGTAAACAACATAATGAAGAAAATATGCTTGGCAGATGGTTCTAAGCATTAGAATCATCAGTTTGGTCTGCCCCAAAGTGTCTCATTATCTTTTATTCTCTCCCCCTCCACCTCTCCCTGCAAAAAGCTTAACAACCAAATGCCTTTGAGACGCAGTACTTTCAGCCTAGTGAATGCTACTTTATTTTCTTAGCTCACCCTGGAATTTCACCCCATAACCACTGTGGTATGTTCGTCCAGGTGGAGAGTGGTTTGGTGATTCCCATTGCAGCTCTTCATGGTGGCTTAAGCATGCTTAAAGGATGGCTAAATGCTCCATGGGGCCAGTGCAGTAAATTAAATCAGGTCAGCACAGTTGGGTCCTTATTCACTGCCGCTTATTGGTGCTGGGTTTTTGTCCATCTTGTTAGGAATGCAGGCTGGAATGGAAAGCTTAGGTTTGAAACTTCATGGTGAATTTGTGTTTTCTTTTGGCTGGCAAAGTTTTTAAGGTGCTGGCATTTAAAAGATTGCATAGCTACACAGTTAGAAGGGTTGCTGATGAAAGAAGGAAGCCTAGATTGCACAAGTAGTGTCACTGTCGTTCTGGTAATGACTTGGCAAGAAAAGGCATTTTGGGCCTCTCGTAAAATGAGGAACTGAGCCTGGATGGAATTTAAGAATGTCTTAGGGATAGTAATTGCTTTACATTTTCTGTCTTTCAATTCTTCTTAGCTGTCTTTCCTCCATTCCATCATTAAAATATTAACTATTTTGTATGTATGTGTATTAAAAAAACTATGTATTTATACATCACAAAATATACAAAGCACCATCTGAAAATACAAATTAAGATAAACATTGGTAAAGCTGTGGGTAACTTTTTAAAGAAAACATGTAGTGGTTTTTTTTTGTTTTGTTTTTTTGTTTTTCTTAACTTACAGTAGCATCTTATTGGTTTAAAATGTCTGTACTTCTAAAAATTATTAGAGAATAGACTGTTCTCTGACATTTTTGGGACTTTTGCATATTCACAGGAAAAAAAAAAGTTCCCAAGGATAGTTTCTAGATACATACAGATTGCTTTCTGCTAAGTGTAATAAGATTTTAGCATATCTCAACCTCTGTACACTGAAAACCCTGGTGGGACACATTTGGAAATTTTTATGGTTGAAGAAAACATCTCATTCTCCAAGAATTTATAAGAATCTGAATTAACCAACTTTTTTGGGTTGGTTGGGTGCTGCTGTTTCAGAAGTTCAGGGTCTTGAGTTTAAAATTACAGCACCAGTGTTTTTAAAGCAAAGGCCACAAGTATAAAAATCCAATGAGTTGCTAATTGAAGGAGTTGAGATGTAGGAAAGAATGGATCTTTACTTATCTAAATTCTTAAAGAGTTAGAAGACTGCAGGTTTTATGAAAAATGTTAGTATGAGCAAGGGTCCTAGTGAAGGCTGTTGAAAACTGATTTCCAGTCATGGAAATTAAATTCCATTTTATATTGCCCTGATGCTTGAAGGTTAACTTGTTAAGATGAATGCTGGTTAATAAATTGTGCCGTTAATGTGGCACTGTTGTCATTGCTTCCTTTTAATGGGCTTGCTGATGAGATGGTTTTCCTCTTCCTTAGGAAATATGCCAGCCAAATTATAAAGTATGTTTTAATATCATCCTGTTAATATTTCGGGAATCTGTAACCAGCTGACTGTTCTCTTTATTGCTTTCCTTTCCCTTATTTTTTGCAGGCAGAGATTGTCAAGAGGCTGAATGCTATCTGTGCACAAGTCATTCCTTTCCTGTCCCAAGAGGTAAGGTAGTTGATTTTAGGCACTGGACTAGAAGTTGCCATTTTAGTGGTTTTGCAGAAAAGGGATTGTAGAACTGACTCTCTGGCCTTGCCAGTCTCTTCGTGTTTGTATTTTATTTTCATTTCTAAGAAACAGTGTTCTCACTCCAACTTGTATACCTTAATAACTTTCTGTGGAATATGATTTAAATGTGTTTATGTAATGGAATATTTTCTAGTTGGGCTAAGCAAAATTCAGTCATTAAAATATTTTGCTATCTTTGTAGTGTTGCTCAGAATTATGCTTGTTTGTCATAATGGTACCTAATAGGGTAGACTGAAAAATTACCAGGAAAACAGGAGCTTACTCTGTACTATTGTCATTGGGCATTAAGAATTGGCAGAAGACATATCAAATGGAAAGACTTTATGTAATAAACAAACTAATGAAGCTTTTGGCTAGCTACTTTTAAACATTTACTTCTTGTTACCTGATTAAGTCTTTATATTATTGTGCTTTTGGGAAAAGATCTGCAAGATGAACTCAGTGAACTCGTTTCTCTGAGTGCCACTTTTCTCAAAATTAGGCTTTGGTGATGGTAGGCTTAGCACATTGCTAAGGCCCGGCATGCGGCTCACTAGTTCTCTTGCTCTCCTCCGGGGAAGTGCATGCTGTCAGCAAACAGGCACAGGTTGAAATAAAGTGATGCATTTCTAGTGCTTGTTGGCTTCTTTGTGGCTTTTTTTTTTTTTTTCTGCCTGCTTGCTTTTGGTAGTTACAAAGTTGAAGTGAGAATACTGGAAAAAGATAATTTTTTGCTTCTGGATTACTGAATGCCTTCATTTGCTTAGGTAAGATCCACTTTAAGAAGGAAGGAGCTAATGAAATAGCTGCATGTCTTTAGCCGCAATACTTTGTGCCTTGGGCTGAGAAGGCACAGAGGCACTTTTCTTCCTACCTTTCAGCTGTTCTGTAAGTGTTGGGTCACTGCTTTTCAGGAGAGAGGTTCATTCACCTGCCTGCCAGCGGGCCTGTGCCGATGTTGTGTGGCCAGTATTTGAGCATGCACGTGTATTACAGATATGCAGGTTGCTATATATGATTTTTTTCCTTGGTCTGAACTGGGTTAGACTTGAGTAACTGTGGGTACCCTTCATAGGTATATACTGGGGAGGGGCACTCCTATTCACAAGTCTTGTTGACACTCTGAATTCACATGCTCTTTTGGGTCTTGATAAACAAAGGATATGTTGTCTTTTCTCCTCCTTTAGCCGTGACCACAAAACCTGGTGGATATGACCACCAGTCATATCCCCATTTGCCTGTTTTTACTTAAGATTTGCTTATGACTAGATTAGATGGCTTGGTGAATGAGAGTCAAGGGGTGCATTTGCATTTCTTTTGGAAGCCTGACTGCTCCCTGCCTGATCCAGACTAGTGTGTATTTTTTACTTTAAGCAGCTCTGCTTTATGGGGATGGAGAATGGAAAGAATGTGTGACCCACAGAGCTGTAACCAGGCTAGGATGTCATGTTCTAAGGTGACAGGGAAAAGTTGGAATTATCGCTGGGGTGGTATTAGACTTTGGGCCTCTGTAGGCACAGACCCCTGAGTATGATCACTGGTACGGCTTTGGTCTCATCACATTTCTGCAGGATCTGTGGGTTGTGTTCAGAAGTGGAAGGTTGTCTTAGGGATGTCGATGAAGCTGATTTGACAATGAGTTGTTTTCCCACATGAATTATGTTGTTTGTGTGAGCAGGCCCAGTGGGAACAGAATGTATAATGGTAGTGGTGCTGAGCAAGACTGGACTGAAATTAATTGTCTTAGGGAGTTATACCTGTAGATGAAAGCCATGGGGAGATACTACAACTCATTTGCTCTAGTCTGGGAAGAAAGGTGTCATACTTAACTGTTGTCATACCACTGAACTATTTATTTCCCAAATACTTTGACATTTCTTGGTTGAAATCCTTGACTCATGATAATGATTTATGCCGAGCTTGTCCAACCCCAGGGCCTGTGGGCCACATGTGGCCCAGGATAGCTTTGAATATGGCCCAACACAAATTTTTAAACTTTCTTAAAACATTATGAGATTTTTCTTTGCAATTTTTTTTAAGCTCATCAGTTATCGTTGGTGTACTTTATGTGTAGCCCACATAAAATGGGATGTGTGTGTGATTTCTTCTTCCAGTGGGGCCCAGGGAATCCAAAAGATTGGACACCCTTGATCTATGCCATGATTTTCTAAATGCCAGTTCTGTGTATATATTTTCTTTTGCTTACTTTAGATTTAATTTGCTCATCTTTTTCTAGTTTCTTAAGGTATGTGTATATCTTTTATTGTGTGAGCACAAACATGTTTGTTTCCTTCAAATCAGGGCATCTCTGATGTTTTTTTATCTGAACATCGTCCACCTTGTTTCTTCTTCTGTGCATTCTGTGAGCATTGGACTCTTTGCTTCTGCCCTGAAGCCAGATGGACCATAATCTGGAGGGAGGGGAGGAGCAGGTTATTAGAGGAAGATGAATTCTATTTCCTCTCTCTTCAGAGGCATGGAAAATCACTCTTGCATGGCTGTGAGCATCACTCTGTGCCAGGACTGAAGGCTCTTAATCTGATCTTTTAACACCGGCTCTCTGTGTGACAGTCTCGCTGCCAAAACGGCAGCTGCTGCATTAGACTTTATTTTAAAATGTTTTTATTTAAAAATTAAATGATCATATTTAGAAAACAGCAAAACAATTCCTGAAGAGTAGTGCACAAGCTAACCAAACAGTGGCTGGAGCAATTGTGAACATCTGAAGTCAGGCTTTTTGGACTTTGATGGGAACAAGGGGTATATTTACATACTGTTAGATGAAGTTTCTTTTTAATTTAGCCCCCGTGTTTTGATTAATATACCTGCTTAATATTGCTTGCGTCTGGTTTACCACATTTTTTTAAACTTAAAAAAATTATATAGTACTGAATGATAACTATGAAATAAATTTAGCTTTAACTTCAAGACTTTTCCTTTTTAGAAATGAGTTGTATAATTGTAGTTCAGAAGTACTTGAAGTGTGTCTGTGTATAAAAATCACAGAAAAATATTTTCCTATTAGAGTTTACTAAAACGTTAAAAAATATTAGAGCCAACATATTCTTTAATAATGTGCTGTTGCACTCACGTACAGCTGCTTCCAGAGGTACAAGCATTTGACAAAGATACTGCCAGCTCCTGTCGGGAAAAGGGAGTACCCATCACTTGGAGTTCATAGAACGTCACAAGATTCTCAGTATCAGAATTTAGAAGAACCTTGTGAACCCTCATCTGTCCCATGCTGCTCTTTTCTCTCACTTCACTTTTCAGCTTTTAGGAATGGATAAGTCTCAACTTTCTTCTTCAAAAAGCAATCTCAAGGTGGTAAATGGGAAGCTCTTTGCTTTCCCTATTTCGGTCTCATTTGCAGGGGAAGAACTATAAATATCAACTCTGAGTTGGCAGTTCCATAAACAAGCGATGCCAGGATGATGACAGTTGGATCTGGGTCCTGGCCTCCCTATTACAAATCGTGTGGTTTACTCTAACCGGGCTAAGCTGGGTGACCTTTAGCAAGTGATTTGCCTCTCTAAGCCTCAGTTTCCTCATCTGTATGATGAAGTTAATCATAGCGTGAAATACATCCAGTGTCTGTGAAGATTACTTGGGATTATACCCGGGTAGCTTAGCACATAGTAATCACCTACTGCCATTGACTGGTAGTATTAACTACAGTAGCAGCAGTGGAGCTCTGTTTTCTCTTGGGAGGACCTAGAACCAACCCTCCCTCCCTTTTCTAATCATTGCATTTGGGAAGAATGTGAATTGATTATCTTCCTCTCTAATGCCCTTATAGAAGAAAAAATGAAAATTAAAAGTGAATCCAGGGCCCTGAACTAGCTAAAAATCTGTGTTTTTGTTTGTTTCCACTGGCAATTTTCAGATATAGCCTATAGATCGTTAGGCCTCAGTGGGTCCTTAGTAAAACTGAGGATTGCCAATAAATACTGTATTGCTTCCAGTGTCGCAGTAACAGCTCCTCCTCCACCCCCCCAATTCCAGGAACATATCTACGTAGAGAGTCTAAGGTGGACTGAAAATTCTAAGGTGGACTGAAAATGTAAGGGACAGCATTTCTGCTAATTTAGAATTGGGCCAGGTCTCCCTCTTCACTAGCTTTGCATTGCAAAGTTGATCTCTCTAAGCCTTAGTATTCCTATAGAACAAGGAGAGTCAGCCCACCTTTACAATGTGTATTGTATGTATCAAAATGTAACAGATTTGGCATAGGGAATGCCCTTTCCCCACCCACTCTTTTCCTATTTTACTTCCAGGGAAATAGATTCTATTTCAGGTTATTTTGGGTCCTTAGACATTTGGAAAGGAATGACTTAGTAAAAACTGGGAAGAGTTAAAGGTAATATTTCAAAACAAGCTGGCTGGCAGTCTTCCCGTGGAGTTAGCTAGGCCTTGCAGTTCCAGTAGCTGCTTCCAACAATGGACATTTAGCTCCACACAGATTGTCTTTCAGGAGGAAGGGAATATTTTATTTTTTTAGTAAACCAGTAGGTATTTGTCTTAACATATTAGATTAAGCAGGAAATACGATGCACTTAGTTGAGGACCTGTTGGAGGATAGTTGTGTTTTCTGCACTGTAAGGATCCCTATAAGGATCACTTTTAGGCTAGTGTATGTTTCACAGTGATCCATAAGGTGTTCTTAAGATCTTTGAGAACCTCAAACCCTTGAAAAGCAGTAGGTCAGTAGGTGAAACGTTTATTATATTATAGTTGAAAATCATTCTCCAGGGTACAGTTGTATTTTTCAGAAACTTGTTGCTTCAGTAACAAGGAGCACATTCATTGGAAGAGCCATGTTAGGCAAGAGGCAATGTGATAAAAGCTGGAGGTCAGCCAGACCCAGGACTAAATCTTGGCTCAGCCACTTGCTTTCTTTACAATGTTGAGCAAAATACTTAGCTTTTCTGGGCTGC